TTCCATGAAAGCAAGTAAATAATGTCGAATCAAGAAATCGCTCCAAAAAGTCGGCGCCTAGGGTGGGCCATGGGTCCCCATGTGCTCGCTGTATGGTCGCTGTCTGGGCTCGCCGCGCGGTTTCAGGTCACTTCTTATTCCTGGGCATGGAAGGGGATATAGATAGGATGCTCTCAAACTTGGCCGTGTCAAGCTCCGCCTTGAAGGCCAAGTGGCCTCCAGGAAGCGCCAAGGCCCCGCGGTCCCGGAGCTGGGCCGAGCTCTGCGATGAATTCCTTAAGGTGTGAGGTGCCGGCCGGGCCCTCGCGCCTCGACTCCCCCTCCCCCGGCTTCTACGCATACATGCTCGAGGCTCCGCCGCGGTGCGTGGTGAAGGCGGCAGTGTCTCAAGCATGCTTGAATCAGCGAATTTGGCCGCAGTCGGAGATCACGATTGGCTTCGAGGTCTTGCCCGACTGCGAGCCGACCGCCTCGATCGTCTTGACCACCTCCATCCCGTCGATCACCTCGCCAAACACGACGTGCTTGCCGTCCAGCCAGTCCGTCTTGACGGTGCAAAGGAAGAATTGCGAGCCGTTGGTGCCGGGGCCCGAGTTGGCCATCGAGAGGGTGCCAGGCGCCTCGTGTCGCAGCGTGAAGTTCTCATCGTCAAACTTTGCGCCGTAGATGGACTCGCCGCCGGTGCCGTTGCCCTTGGTAAAGTCGCCGCCCTGGCACATGAACCCTGGGATTACGCGGTGGAACGTCGAGCCCTTGAAGTGCAGCGGCTTGCCCTCCCGGCCGATGCCCTTCTCGCCAGTGCACAGGCAGCGGAAGTTCTCCGCCGTCTTTGGCACGGTGTGGGCATGCAGCTTCATGCGGATTCGACCGGCTCGCAGCCCGCCGATGGTGATGTCGAAGAAGACCTCCGGCGAGAGAGGGTGGGGCATCGGGTACCTGCAAGCGGCGCGTGGGAGAAGAAGAATTCCTTCTGATTCCCGTGAACAATCGCAGGACGAGGCAGAAGAGAACGACGCGACAAAGGAGGAAGTGACAAGGGAGAGAACGACGAGAGTGGGACGGCCGCGAGGTGGCATGAAGGTTGCAGCGAGAAGCGGCGAGAGACTGCGAAAAGAGATACGAAGAGGCAGACTCCCTAGGGTGGGCGACGGCTAGCGCATCACACTCTCCTCTCCTTAAAATCCCTGTGTGGTGGCGGCGTGCCGTTCTCCCATCCCTCCCTTGGGTTGTGTGTTTTCTTTCTTTTTTTTCGCGACATGTTAAGCTTTCAAGCATCAAGCAAGGGGTCGCGGCGAGAGACTGCTACTGCGAAAAGAGATCGAAGAGGCACATCAAGCAAGGGGTCGCGGCGAGAGACTGCTACTGCGAAAAGAGATCGAAGAGGCAGACGCTGGCAGCGTGCACCTACCTCGATCCTGTGTACCGTGTTTGTTATGACCATGAACACTCCAGTGAGGGAGGGCGAGACGATCGAGGGGTCCCGTACCACGCGGAATCGACCCTATCCAGTGCTCAAGTGCTCAAAAGAGGGTTCATGGGCAACGGCTAGCACCATACAGCACACTAAATCCCTAGGGTGCGGTGGCGCGGCGCCTGCCGCGTCGCCTCCGCCCTCCATCTCCGCCTGATCTCCGCCTCCACCTCGTTTTCCGCGTCGGGCACTTGGAGCACTTGGTCTTGGAGCGTATAGTTTGCGGGGTTCGCTCGGTGATCGAGAATCGGTCCACCTTTTCTCTCCGTAAAATCGATGTATGTTTTCTGTGTTGTGTTCGCGTCTTTCCTGTGGAACGAGGTCCTATCATATCTCACGTTATCACGAGACACTGTGTGGCGGTAAAACGGCCTATCAGAGCTTTCTCGCTCTCGGGAAATTTCAAGAGGAACACCGGGGACCCCCGCCACACACGAGATGACCCTTGGACGGCAGCGCGACAAACATCTCAACAACACGCCCAGACGCTCAAGCTTCTCGCTGCCCGCCCTCTCCGTGCGCCTCCCACGGCCTCGTGAGCACGTCGCGGATGATGCGCCGCTGCGCCGCCTCGTCGCTGTGCAGCCCTCCGTGCAGCCAGCCCTCGTGCCACTCGAGCCGCACGCGAGGCGTCTCGCCGCGCTCGACGCAGCCGCGCTGGTACGCCTCGAGCGCTTGCCGCACGTCGTGCGGGTCGGCGACCGTGTCGCAGCCGCCGAGCACGACCAGCGCGTCGCAAGGCAGGTCGGCGGGGTGGATGTAGTTGTGCGTCCACCAAAACGTGCGCCGGAAGCAGAACTGGACGGACGGCTCGAGCACGACCATGGCCCGCTGCACCGCGTGCACATAGTCGCGAGGCCACCGCCCGCCTACTCACTCTCGCCGCACCCTCGGCGCGCGCGCGGCCCGACCGCACCGCCGCCGCCCGCCGGCTCGCGCCGCAGCAGGGCGGCTCGGCGTACAGAAAGTTGTGCAGCACATCCCCCGACGAGAGCTCGAAGCAGATCGGGTCCGAAAAGACGGCGGCGCCGGCCAGCTCGGGCGCGCGCTCGAGCACGGCGCCGAGCAAGCCGCTCCCGACCGAGTTGGCGAGGAAGGCGGCGCGCGCACCGCAGAGCATCCCGCGCAGCGAGACGACCAGCTCCGGCAGCTGCAGCGGCCTGTCGCACGGCGAGAGCCGCACCTAACGGCGCACACCGCGAGCACGGGTCCAGAGGGCGTCGACGAGGGGCGAGCGCTAAGGCGGCTCGGTTCTAGCGGCTCGGGGAGGGCGCGCCGAGGGCGGCGCCGCGACGGCCCACGTCGGGAAGATTGGAAGGTAGATCGCGCCGGCGTGCATCTCCGCGAGCAGGTCGATCGTGAGCCCGTACGGGAGGAAGCCGAGCACGCCGTGGAAAAAGACGACGGGCATCGGAGGCGGCCTGGGGCGAGGGGGCGCCGCGACGCGTCAGCCTAGCTCTGCGCAGCGGCGGGGGCGGCCTCGCGATCGCGCCCGCTCTCCCGCCGCGCGCTCCTCGCTGGCCTGGAGGCACGTCGCGGGCGCGTCAGGGGCGTGTGGCAACCGCTCACTCTGTGAATAGACACCGTGAATAGTCAGGGGCGTGTGGCAACCGCTCACTCCCGCCGGCTTACTCTCCCTGCCGGCCTGTGCCAGTAGCGCAGGTTCCCTCTGCGGTGCAGGCGGAAGCCGCGGCGGCGGAGGCTCCTTCCGGTGAGCCGCATGTTGGACTGCAGCACGAGGTAGAAGAGCAGCGGCTTGTGGCACGGCGTCAGCGCCTGCCGAGTGTACAGCATCCAGCCTCCGCCGCCGCCTCCGCCGCCGCCTCCGCCGCCTCCGCCGCCTCCGC